GGTGGGCGCCCCTCCCCACAGGCCGGGCTATATATACATATATAGTCTGTATATCTACATATATCTCTGTATATAATCTACATATATTGCTATATATCTACGTATGTCTACATATATCTCTAGATATCTACACATATCTACATCTCTATTTATATATATAGATGTGTGTGTGTATATATGTGTGTGTGTGTGTGTGTGTGTGTACTTATGTCTATGTCTGCGCCTCACCTGCCCGGTGGAGCTCTCCCACCTGCAGCCATCCGCCTCCCTGAAGTGTGATGAGGTTCAAAGCTTCTTCATGAGTTACAAAGAGTTGAGGTCGCGCTGCCCAGCATGGAGAGAGGCCTCTGCATCTCCTCTCTGGACAGGCAGCTGCCTGTGCTGCAGGCAGGCAGGAGGAGAGGCTCGTCATGGAATTGTAAGGCCTCACTGGAGCTCCTGATTGTTCATTAAACCTCTCTGTTAATTTTCCAAGCCTGTACTTTTCCAGATAAGGGCATTCCCCAAGTATAGCACCTGCCTGCTGCATCGCTTAACCAGACGTAGACCTCAGCTGTGAGGATTAATGATCCAGAAAAGTTATGTATTGGTGATTTAAGTGTGTTCAGACCCGGATGGCAAGCCTGACTCCGGAGACCTTATCCCTGGCTGGTTTGTCTGTAAAACAAGTTTATATACAGAGAATGTCTGATGGTGTCAACTGAGGAGCACAGTCTGGCAATAAATAGGTACAAAAGATGAGATTATAAAGTGAGGAAGTGAGTGAAGCCTTCACAATAACAGAGAAACAAGTGAGTCAAGGCAGAGATGCAAAGGAGAAAGGGGAGGGGAGAAGGCAAGAGATGTTGAAGACACCGGTGTGTGCGCAGGGAAATCCAACACCCTTTCTCTTTTTAAACTGGAAAGAGAGCAAGGGGAAAGTTCAGGAATATCACATTGATCTTAAATGCTGGTTTTAAGTCTGACCATTAATCTTGACATTATATATAGCTCTTGACTCACTTTCTTTTAAATGTAAGGTCATGACATGATAACTTGACTTTGACTGGAAGATTCAGCCTTCACATGTTGGAAGAAGTTACTCCACCTCGATGCTGTGTAGCTAATACAGTGTTAGTTGGAGTCTGTCTTGTTCTTGTGTCACAGTTGATGCAGGCTTTCTCCTGTGAATATATGACAAAATAGGTTTTCCAGTGCCTCATTTAGTCCTCTCTTTTGCTACACTTTCACTGGAAAAGAACAAGGTATCTTTGGTTTGTTCTTTATTTTCTTCTTTGGTTTAAAGCAACTGAAAGTATGTGTGTATATATATATATATATGTACATAGAGACTCAAAAGTTCAACTCAAAAAATATATACCAAATTCAAAGTTCAACAGCGAACACACTTCATTAGTAGCATATCCCTGCTGTTAAGGGAGTTTATTAAAAACATGAAGTGTGTTAGCAGAGGAATGGCAGAGAGGAAGAAGAAAGACAGTTGGTAGATGATTAGAGAAAGAACTGTGACTTGGTTTATGTCCCCTCGTATCTTTAATGATTCATTAAAATATAAAATTGCTGACCTTTTGCGGCAGTGAGTGCGAGGCTAAAATGCCGCTTGAGCTTATTGTTTCTTTGGTTTTCTCTGCTGTGTGAGGGGATTTTGCTTTTCTTGGCGTATGAGATGATGCACAACAGAGGATTTTTGACCTGATTACCTCATGCACTGAAAAGCCTTGGGGTTTTTCATGTCCTTTATTTTGTATGATGCAGCCTTCATGTATTGTGGCCCAAAGCATGTGTGAAAGGTCACTGACAAGGAGGAACACGAAATGGCTGTGCGTTTTACACGGAGATGTAAGCAGGCATTGGCATTTGGAGTGTTGGGTGGATAGACACAGCAAGTTAGAGATCCTGCAAAAGTTTCATAGATCGTTTGGATCCCTGTCAGGGAAGTGTGGGGCAGAGGAACAAAATGGCACTTGAGAGCAGTTCCAGAAGATGCTGTAGGAATTAATTGTTGGTATCATCTCAGTAAATATTAGGTATCTATCAGTGTGTCTCTGAAACCAAGGAGTAGAAACAAGGGCAAGTGCTCATAAAATTTCTTCCTGGGGGCCTGGTTCCAGCCCAGAAACTTTCCTGTGTTTAAATTGATGTAATTGATAAGACTGGAAGATTTGAGCTGCAGGTTAGACTTCACATAAAGTCTAGATCTGCTGAAATGGTTCTTACCACTTCCTAACTATGGCAGGATTTTTCTCCTGTTTCCGCTGTTTGAAAGAAAGCAATGTTCTATTTCTGGAAATTTGGGATGGTCCTTTTGAAACTGCAGTTTTCGAACAGTTCAACTGACAAATTGCTCTCTTGACTTCTTATAAACAGAACCAGGCTACGTGTGGGGTATTTGTGTGTGTGTGTGTGTGTGTGTGTGTGTGTGTGTGTGGTTTTGTAGTTGAAACTCAAGAGGCTGACCTTGTAGACTTAAATACTTCAGTTTTGGTTTTAGCAGTTCTGAATTGCAAGTATGTTTTAAACCCGAAATATATAAATATTTTTTGAAAGCTTCTTTATTTTAAGAATTTAAAATGAAAAATGCTATTTTTATGGTGCCTGTTCTTTTTTTGAGCAAGCCTCAGGCAGCAAATGAAGTACAACATGTGCTGCAACGTATGCAACTACCTTTGGACCACGCAGCTTATTGGTTCTTGTTTTAATTCAGAAGAATGTTAGAAATCCCTCTCTCCTCTGCAGTGCTGGAGCGCAAGAAAAGCATGTCAAAAGGAGAATGCTTTAGTAGAGAATTTCAGGAAATTCATATACCTTTGTGGGTTGTTTTTTTTTAATTTCCGCCCTTAGTATGAGGGCTGTGAACAGCAAACATCACTGGCTGGGAAGTGATCTCATTGTATTGTCTCACAAGCGCCCTAAAGTACGTGGTTTTCCCAGTATGCGTTTTCTTTCTCCTTTCCAGTGTCAACACCTGCGTAGACGTGGTTCTGTCTGGTGTGAAATTGTTAGAGGCACTTGGTCTTGAACCTGGAGATGGAAAAAATCACGTGGTCTTGAACTCCAGACAGGACCTGAAAGAAGCATTCGCTTACTTCATGGAAAAAGGGGCAGCTGCCGAGCGCTTCTTCAGCGATGCCGAGTCTTTCCATCACATTGCGCGGACAGCCTCTGAGCACCCTGGTGCACAGGTATGTCTTCCACCTGCTGATAAGCTCTGAGAAACATGTTTCTTATTTTCTGCATCGTTGGTGACTTTTGTTCTCTGTTGAGACTGCAAATTGTTCAGGAAAGAGAAACCTATGCTGTAGCTTGACTGTGTTAATGACTTCCTGCAAAACTCTGCATCTGCTGCAAATAGTAGAGTTATGAATAGTCTGTCCCTTGATTGCTTTGCAAAACTCAAACATCAGTCCAAGATGCCTCTGTAAGAATACACGGGAGCCAGATGGGGCTGATGCTCTAACATCTCGTAACAAGGAAGGAAGCAAAGAAATAGATCCAAGCACTATAAGTTGTAAACACTCCCATCAGCTTCAGTTATTTAACACAGGATTTAAATTCTCTCTAGGAGTGATGGAAAGAAAGAAAGATTTTTTTTCTGAAGCCTCCTTTTCAAAAAGCGAAGTTTTATTGCTCTTAATTTATACTGGTTCTTCTGAATTGAGCTCGATACCTTGCTTGGCAGTTAGCTAATTTCTACAAACTGCTTAATGCCGCCTTCTACATGGTTTGCCAGCTGCTTTTCAAAATGAGGAAGAGCTCTAAATGCTTTTTGTTGGCCGAGACTCTCCTCTGTTGACTTGTTTCTCATCGTGTTTCCTACATTGGCTTTATGGAATCCCCTGATTAGTAGCTGTATCCTTCTATAGTCTGTTTTCTGTCACCTCTGAGTGCCTGGATCCTCACAACAAACTATATTCTTTGGCTTCAAAGCTCACATCGGAGTTTTCTTACTTGAAAGTTTCATCTTTCTTACCTGAAGAAACTTTCACAGTTCCACTTGCTTCATGTGGGTGCAGGTACCAGGTTTAACCTTAATTTCAAACTGGAGGAAGTTTTGTTGCAGTTTTTAAAATGATTGCTTGTCAGCCTTACTAAAAAACCACAAGTTATCAACAGTCACAGAAAAGTTGCATGGAAGTTGGGGCTGTTTATGTGTGAATGAATTGTAAGTTACCTGAAGCTGAATATTTAGATTTTAAAAAGTCAGAGAACGCTCAATTTGTTGAGATCTCACAGAGAATTGTAAAATTCTTTTGCCTTCAGCCCCAGTGAGCTTTTATTAACTTCAGTAAAGTTAGACCCTTCTCTAAAAAGCTACAATCTCTAGCCTATACTGAGGACTAAGCATGTATAAAACTATGAAAGCAAGGGAATGCCCATACCTGCCTCGATTTGTTTTACAGCTTTATGTAGGAGGAAATGCTGCTCTCATCGGTCAGAAGCTTGCGACAAATCCAGAACTGAAGGTACGTAGTCCAAAAATTTCATGCTATTTGCTTGTCTCTGAGGCTCAGATTACTTCCTTGTAGATTTTGGGGATCTTGCAGTTATTTCTTAGGTTATGGTAGAACATATGATTGGCCTTACAAGTTGAAAAGCATAGCTGATTTTTAAATTTTTTTTTAATCAATATCTAGGTGGTGCTTAAATGCTCTGAAATGCTGGCAAGAGACATGGCAGGGGATCCTTGATTGTTTTTTCTTGTTTCCTAGGTTCTCCTTTGTGGCCCAGTTGGTCCTAAACTCCATGACCTACTTGATGACAATGTGGTTGTGCCACCTGAATCCATGCAGGAAAGAGATGAATTCCATCTTATCTTGGAGTATCAAGCAGGTACCTTGCCAACGGCCAGATGTTAGATGGGAATCCTGAACATCACTAAGATAGTCGTGGTTTTAAAGTTGGTTTATTGTGAATCAGTTAATTCCAGAAGGACTGTGTAAGTTATCAGTAGTGGCAGCTGTCACTGGAATCTGGTAATTCCATGTGCTTCAGGGAGCTGTGGTAGGTGAACAGACATCTAAAAGTCTTTTGAAACTTTTTTTCCTTTGTAATGTGGTTACTGTAAATTCTGATTCATGCTGCTGTCTTGCTTAGCCCCTTGGTTCCGTATGCTTGTATGCTACAACCGATAGAAACCAAGCAGACTTTTCATTTTATTGTGATGCATAGCCTAGGCAGACCTGATGGGTGTAATTCTAAAGCTGCATGAACCCTAAAATAATCCAGTAATTTTCTCTGAGAACAGAAAAGTACCATGTAACCACATGCAGATGAAATTCAGGCCAACCCTAATGTAATAGTTAAAATATGTGCAAATATGCAAGTGTTTCCTGCTGTTTTCAACCCGAATCATTCCACTGCTCCTGCCTCAATGTGTAACTTCAGAAAGAGTTACATTGGTGTGACAGAAGAGGGAGTATTTGGCAAGGAGGGAACATGAGAATGACCTTAATTAAACTTTTTAGCAACAAGACCAATGTGGAGCAACACCCAAAGCCTGCACTGTGATGGATTTCTGGCTGAAGCAAGGTTATTATAACTGACAAGTGCTGCTACAGGGTAGCACTTGTAAAATTACACTCATCTCTTTTAAGTAAATCTACATTCTTCCTGCTCCTGGAGGCATCCTCATCAGATACATTAGTATATGATGTCTCCTTTTCTTGGCATCTTGCTGCCCTCCTGATGCAACTCTGGGCATCTTTGTCCTCGACAGAACTTTGCCATAAGATTTATTTTAAGAGGCGGCAGCACTGATGGCTGTTGATGCTCTTTCAGTGGCTTTTCCATAAATCCTGGTCATATTTTCCATAATATAACCAGTATACAGTTTGGGAGAGCTGAGTGAACAAGTACACAGGCTAGTTCTAAGGTGGAGATTCTGCCTAGAATAGCATCCAAAATGCTTGTGTCCCAAGAGCTTTCTGGTCAAGCTGCCCTTTGTGACCCATGTTTATTTATTCCCTTATATTTTTTTCTGTCTAGTTATCGTAACTGGCATGAGGAACTGCCTGCTGCCAGAGCTAAGATGTGTGTACAGATGGGGAAAGCTGGCAGAGGGCTGGCCAGTTGGACTGCGGCTTCTAATTCTAATTCTATTTTGTATTTCTAATTTCTACTTCTAATTCTGTCTTGTAATTTCTGTCCTCTCTAAGCTTGCTGTTTTTACCCTGTTTTCTCATGGCTCAGTGTCCCGGAGATGGAGCCCATTTAATTTGTGGTCTTATCTGGGAATAAAACCATTTACACATACAGCACTGATACAGCTGTTCTGCAGATCATTTCTGGGAGCTGCGCAGTCAGGAACAGTAAGAGCTGTGAGATTTTTCAGGGTGTACCTTCATGATAAAGCTTGAGTCAAAGTGGTTGTTGCCAGAAGGGGAAGGTCTCCCCTCTCTTTATGTATCCTGCATGCTCCAGATATTTGGCTTGAGCTGGCTGTGACACTCCCCTAATTGCATGATAAAGTAATACAACTGATTAAAACACCACAAAGCTTGCAAACCCAAACGAGTATTGAATTTTCCTTCTGATCAGACAAGCATCTAAATGAGGCAGAAGGAGTGAAGGAAGAGAATGAAGGAGAAAAAGAGCAAGACTTCTTTTTTTGTGGCTGGCAGGAGCTGTTAACTGGGCACCGTCACATTGTGAAACCATGCCTTCAGATTCCAGCACGATATCCCAAACAATCTCCAGCTGCGTGGTTCGATTTGCTTCTCTTCTGAGTGAACTTCCTTCTCTTTGTTTCACCCTAGGTGAAGAGTGGGGACAAGTGAGAGCACCCAATGCCAACCGCTTTATCTTCTCCCATGACCTATCAAACGGAGCCTTAAATATGCTGGAAGTGTTTGTGTCCAGCTTGGATGAATTTCAGCCAGATCTGGTGGTACTTTCAGGACTTCACATGATGGAAGGCCAGAGCAAGGAGATGCGGCAGAGACGACTTATGGAGGTAAGATACTCGAACACTGGCATCTCCTTCATTTCCATTCCAACATATGCTTCGTGGCAAAGTCTTGGTTTCCCAGGTTTGAACTTGCAGTTAGGCTGCGTCTTCAGATCTCTCACAAATCATTTCAGTATTGCACGCTAAAAAAAGAAGGTGAACTGTAGAAATGGCAGAAAAGTCGAATCCTGTAACACTAATTTCTTATGTTCGCTGGGTTGTCCAGGGAAAAAACTGGTACGGTTTGGCTGCCTGGCTGGAGTACGTTGACATAGTTACTGGAGCTTACCTAGTGGCTAAATTACACTTTTTCTATCCCAGCTACTAAGATGATCAAGGTCATAACCAAGACTTTCATTTTTTAAGCAGTGTCTGTGTTAGATAATCCAAGAGGCGGCTTTCTCCTCTAAGCCCAAAGGAGCTACACCAAGTTCTCTTGTTATTTACAGATCACTGCCTGTCTGACAGCCGAGTGCCCTTCCTGATGCAATGTGGAAGAAGAAATGTGCTGAGTTGGGTGCAGATTAGGGTTAGATAACAGTTTTCCTGCTCTGGGATTCTGAAAACCAAAAGTTGTTTTTATTTCTTCTCCTTAGCAGTACATTCTGGCACTTGTCAGATATCTTATTTGGAATTGCATTTAAATCAATACACAAGATTAAAGGATGTGTATCTTTGAGTCAAAACCCCTTTGTTCTTTCTGTTTCTTAACTAATATTTGCTTTAGGGTGCTGTGGTTTATTTGCTTTTCCTTACCTCTGTAGGCTGTGGCCTCCATCTCTGATATCCCTACTGATATTCCCATACACCTGGAGTTGGCCAGTATGACTGATCAAGATTTTATGAGCAACATTATGCATCAGGTAACGAAAATGAAAGGACACGCTCTGTTTTATCAGTTTCCTTTTCTTCAGTATCACAAGGCACAGGCAGGTAGATGAATATACATATGAAAATCAGGGCTATCCCTTTGAAGGTAAGTCGAGAATATGGGTTTAATGTCTCCTACCGCATTCTGAACACTTTGATTTTTCTCTACGGAGCTAATGAGAATTTCCTCTATGCAGCAGAGGAGAACTGTAACGACTTGTGGCTTAGCAGAGGACAGATGTGTTTTCTTTAGCTCAGAGAAAGTATTCCTTTTAGAATGGTCTCTCTGGGAAGTTTCATTTAGGAGGTATCTTAAAATGCTCTCGGTTGATCATCAGACCATTTTCAGCAAGAAGTAAGTTTCCCCTGTCTCAGAATGGGAAAAGGATCCTGGGGCAAGAATTAGCGG